ATAGATTTTCCTAAAATTCTTCTGATATATAAACATTTTTCTTCCCCATATCCAAAGCCGTTATAGATAATTTAATAAATATACACAATATTTTATAATAAACTAAAATGCCTAAAACAATCTTTCATTAACAATAATTTTCACATATTGAACACAGTAGTATACCTTCATCTACATATACAATGTATTGTTGGGTCATTTTGCTATAAAAAAATATTGCTGATAATTCTACTATAAAATTTATTGCTGGTCATTTTGCTTTAAAAATGTATTGCTGGTAACTTTACTATAAATATGTGTTTTTATACGTTCATAGTGTTTTGTTTTGTTTAGAGGTTCAATATTTGCTCATAGCTAGGACCCTAACATGTGCAACTAACCTAGGTCAAAGTTAACCTGGGAACAACAGCAATTAAGAAGTGGTTCCATGCTCTGCAAAATCTCTAATCTCCAAAACAGAGGCTTTGTTGCCAGATATAGTTTATCGTCATACTGCTTTCTGTTACCATTTTCATTGGGACTTCCTTGTTGCTTACTCATTCCATATGATACTCCAAATATAACATGCTACAGAAGGTACTTGACATGTTAGAACCAACTTCTATTGACATGGTTGGAAGAGAACCTCATCCTAACCAGATATATAAACATCATCTGTATTGATTAGTGGTATTAACATCTCCATTATGGCTGACAATCAATTGCAATTACCAACAAGATCAACAAACTAATCATTACTTCATAGGGAAGAGTTCAATTTATTTACAAGGTTTGTCTTAGTCTGGTATAGATCCACAAATATGAGTAACCTAATAAAGATAAAATTTCCTAGAATAATTTTTTTTTAAATCAGTATCACACCATGCAAAGCAGTAATGCCACTACGACTCAAGGGGTTACTGGGTGTGGAATAATTAGAAACAAAAACATTACTAATAAGCGGGAAGAGAAAAGAGTAATCATGAAGGCAGTAGATAGCGATTGACATTGCATTTAAATTTTTTCATATTAAAGTTGGCTGGAAAGCATGGAACCAGAAGGGAGTTCCACGAGCGAGAAGTTAGCATAGAACTTACGGCTACATCTAGCCAGCTCAAATGTAAATTGATGAGACCTTGATGCCAGGCTAGTCAGTCAGTTATGTTCCATACATAATACATGCTTAGATGATCATGTATCTTTTAATACATGACTGGTGAGGCACTCTAATATCTGTTGATATTTTTGCAGTGAGGTATTATGTACACTATTTATATTATTCGGACTATTGTCCTCATCTTTGTTGCCATATTTATCATGTTTCGGCCGTTGTATGCTCCGGCCTTCTTCATGGAAGAAGTCCGGAGCATACAACATTAAACAAAATCTGAAAGGTTCTTCAACTGTGAGTAGTGTCTCCATTAAAGCTATATAAAACTATTAAAATTAAGTTTTGGCCATTGTAGCTTCCAACCTTCTTCCATGAAGAAGTCTGGAGTGTACAACTGCTGAAACGTTGTGATAAATATGGCAACAAAGATGAGGACAATAGTTCAAATAATATAAATAGAGGCACTCTAGATTATGCAAATGTTTTTAAATCAGTATCACACCATGCAAGGCAGTGATGCCGCTAAAACACAAGGGGTTATAGTGTGTGGAAGAATTAGTGACAGAAACATTAATGGTGAGCAGAAAGATTAATCAGGAGGACAGTATGTGTATTTATCAATTCAGTCTTAGTCAACTGTTTTATTCAAGTTGTTTTCTTCCCCTCAGGCAGTGGCATAGCATAGCATCATTAGAGGAAGACAGTTCACTCCAAGCTATATTGAAATAAAAATGGTTTTAATGGAGACACTACTCACGGTTGAAGGACCTTTTAGATTTTGATTAACTTAAACTATATCGTATGTATTGTTAACTTAACTGAATAATAAACATTATCCTGTGATGTATTCAGGGCTGTTTTATAATTGTTGACAATGTAAAACCTGTGAATGGACCAAGAGTGCGTTCTTTTAATGTCATAGCACTGCTGTGTATGTGTTGTATCTTGTGTTTTCAAGATAACAGAGAGAAATAAATCTGGATGACAAAATCATAGGTAAGTAATGAAATAGAAGGTTTACTACACATAAGAACACTTAGTAACTGATTTAATGCTAACTCTCCTCAACTCTGCTTAACTCTGCTTATTTACATAAACGAAATATTCCATTCATTTATGTTCTATATGACAGTATGGGAGACACATCTTGGTTGTTAAAATATAAATCTCAGTTATTTTCCTTGAAAGAAGTCTGATGGCATATATTGCTCTATTTTTCATCTTTTGGACCTGTTAATAGTTAATACATGCTTATATATATATATATATATATATATATATATATATATATATATATAATTCATATCAAGTAGAAGAATTAGGAAAAGAAACAATAATGATGAGCAGAAAGTGAAGAGAGTAATCAGGAGGACAGTAGATAGCGATAGACATTAGATTTAAATTTTTTCATATAAAAGTTGGCATGGAGGAAAGCATGGAGTGGGTGAAAAGAAACTGGAGAGCAACATTTTCCAGCTCAACTTGATGACATCTTGATGCCAGGCTTTAAATCCAAAAATTAAAACTGGTATTTATAGAAAAGACATAGACAGGTAACATTTAGTGGTGGGAAAGTGCTCAAATAGCAGAGGACTGAATCTATATGCCAATATTCTCAAATAGACTTACAGATATTAACTTACAGAAAGACAGAGAATGAGAAGAAATGATTAAACTTCAAGACAGGTTGGGAACACTAGAATCAAACAGATGTGGAAGTTTAAATATTTGGGAAGCATTTTGACAGAGGACGGTAAGTGCGACACCGAGATCTGTAGACATATTGTAATGGCCAAGGATGCATTCCAAAAGCTGGGCAGAGTATTGCGAGACATTGCGAGGATTTCTTTGGTAACAAAGAAATGGATACTGAGTTGTTATGTGACATATATGTCCTTCTTTATGGCAGCCAATGTTGGACAATTTCCTCAAAGCGAGGATTTCTTTGGTAACAAAGAAATGGATACTGAGTTGTTATGTGACATATATGTCCTTCTTTATGGCAGCCAATGTTGGACAATTTCCTCAAAGCGAGGATTTCTTTGGTAACAAAGAAATGGATACTGAGTTGTTATGTGACATATATGTCCTTCTTTATGGCAGCCAATGTTGGACAATTTCCTCAAAGCGAGGATTTCTTTGGTAACAAAGAAATGGATACTGAGTTGTTATGTGACATATATGTCCTTCTTTATGGCAGCCAATGTTGGACAATTTCCTCAAAGCGAGGATTTCTTTGGTAACAAAGAAATGGATACTGAGTTGTTATGTGACATATATGTCCTTCTTTATGGCAGCCAATGTTGGACAATTTCCTCAAAGCGAGGATTTCTTTGGTAACAAAGAAATGGATACTGAGTTGTTATGTGACATATATGTCCTTCTTTATGGCAGCCAATGTTGGACAATTTCCTCAAAGCGAGGATTTCTTTGGTAACAAAGAAATGGATACTGAGTTGTTATGTGACATATATGTCCTTCTTTATGGCAGCCAATGTTGGACAATTTCCTCAAAGCGAGGATTTCTTTGGTAACAAAGAAATGGATACTGAGTTGTTATGTGACATATATGTCCTTCTTTATGGCAGCCAATGTTGGACAATTTCCTCAAAGATGTAGAAGAGACTTGAGGCGACAAGATGTGGTTATACAGAAGGTTGCTAAAGATATCATGTACTGAGCGTGTGAGCAACAATGAGGTCATAGAGAAGATGTAAACAAGGAGGAGGCTTATACTTAATATTAGGAAGAGGCAGCTGAAGTTTCTGGGACACATCATGAGGAAGGAGGGCCTGGAGAAGCTGATACTCATGGGTTGAATAGATGGAAAGACAACCAAGGGAAAACAACACATGACATACCTGGCGAACTTAAGCAAGTGGATGACAGAACTTGGTCTGGGGGAGGTGGCAGAGGGAAGGAACTTGAGAGCTGCAAGGGATAGGGGGAAGTGGAGAGCCATGATCGCCTACATCCTGAAAGGACATGGCACATAAAAAGAAAGAAGATAGATTCTTGAAAGAAAAATTGTCTGGCCCAACAGAATGAACTAACTTTCTTAGCAGCTGACCTAGCAGTGGATTCAATATAATCTTTCCACTTCATATCAGCAGAGAACATAAGCCAGAGAAGGTACAATGAGTCACTTTATTGGAGGTTAGCATCAGCCATGCTGATGGAAGGCAGAAAAGGGGTTTCTCCTTTTAGTTTTGTAGGCGTTAATGATGGACTTGTTGTTTTGGGGCATCAGATGCCATTTTGACCTTGTTGAACTGATCAGCTTTATTATTGACGCAGGAGTAAATTGTTGTGCCATCAGCAGAGATACCAAGTTGAGAGCTGATGCCATCAAGAAGGTCATTAATGAAAATTAAAAACAGATTAGACCAAAGATGGAGCCCTGGTGGAATACCCATGTTAGTACAAATGGTTGGAAAGACAGTTTTTTTTTTAATTACTCCAGATTGAAGAGTTTAAATAATTGATATGTCCCGGAAAGGGATATATTTGAACGAAGTAGCTAAGTGGTTTTGGCTACTATAACCAAGTAGAATACGGTAGCAGTAATTGACTGGTATGCATCGTAGTCGCAGGTAAGAAGTGTAGATCAATGACATAGTCCAATGGGCGTCGTTATAGACTTAGCTCTCAGACTAAGGCTCTTGACTCTCCTACACGTCTGTCAGTATTTACAACATACACCAGCCAATCATATTCCAGTGAGGGGGAACACAGTTGTATGCATATTTCATTATATCAATAATTTACAATGATTAGCATAGTTTTATGCCAATCCACAATTATGGTTATACAGAATTGGTCTACAATTGCTTAACTTCGGTGATCATGAGGGAACCAGTGTTTCAATGTGATGTGGTCATAAACACATTATGCTATCTGCCCATTCAAGCTTACAACATCTGGTATTCCCAAGTGGTCACCCATCAAGCTCCTGACCAGGCTCAACATTGCTTAACTTTAGTGATCATGAGGAAACCAGTGTTTCAATGTGATGTGGTCATAAACACATTATGCTATCTGCACATCCAAGCTTATGGCATCTGGTATCCCCAAGTGGTCACACATCAAGGTACTGACCAGGCTCAACATTGCTTAACTTTAGTGATCATGAGGGAACCAGTGTTTCAATGTGATGTGGTCATAAACACATTATTCTATCTGTCCATCCAAGCTTACAACATCTGGTATTTCCAAGTGGCCACCCATCTACAATATGAGGCAAAAAAAATGGACACACCCATAGAAAGTCGATTTTTGTATTTTTACCAAGACAAGTGAGTAACAGAATTCATTTATTAACATCAGGTGTTAATACAGGTGTACATGTGTACATTATACTAGTCAAAAAATGATTTAATATTTTGTTAGGCATCCTTTTGCTTTAATAACAGCCTTTTAATTCTTTGTGGCATGCTATAGACTAAATTCTTTAGTAAGTCAACGTCCTTTACCAGACTTTTCCAGCATTCGTTAAATTCACAAAAAAGCTCATCTTCTGTGTTAACTTTCCTATTACAAGCACGCTTATCCATTATCACCCAAAGGTTTTCAATTGGGTTAAGGTCAGGACTCTGACTAGGCCACTGGAAGAGTTGCAATTTACCCTTGTCATGCTTCCTCTCTAGATAACATTTATTCTTTAAGGCAGTATGCTTAGGATCATTATCATGTTGGAACATGATGCATTGACCTTGAGCAAAAAGCTTTTTAGCAGAAAAATTTGATTACTACATTTGATTAACAAGAACATTGTGGTATTGATGCTAGTCCATGATTCCCTTGATTTTGTACAAATTACCAACTCCTGCTTCTGGGAATGCACCCCAAATGTTAATTTTTTCATTGTGTTTAACAATGCCCTTGGCAGTCACTGGAGTATTTGTTTCACCGAGCATACACCAAACACATATTCATCCTTCATATCTAAGATTAAAGAGGCTCTTGTCGCTCCACATAACATCTTCCCAATCAGATTTAGTCCAGTGTAAATGAGCTTTGCACCAAACCAATCATGTCCGTCAATTTTCCATATAATAACTACTGACAAGGAAGATAGAAACAACAACACAAGATGTTTCCAAAGCAGCTAGTTTAGTGGTTTCTTCAAGAACAGTCAGACACAGGCTTAAAGCAAAAGACATTGTTTCTAAATACATAAGAAGAAACCTTTCATATCTGGATGATGCTTAACTTTGGTGATCATACAGAAACCAGTGTTTCAACATGATGTTGCCATAAGGCATGACAATAAAGGAAATGAAAATTATGATTGTTTTTCCATGACTGACAAGATATCAAACAAAACATTCTTTGTCCTGAAGTAGCCGATGAGATAACTTGTGAGAAGTTTCTTTGCCTTTTATATTCTTATCACAGTCAACAGTTGTATAGTTATTACAGGCAGTTTGTAGATGATGATGGATAAAATGAAAATAACGGTTTTATTGCAACGTCAAACAGGAAATGTTACAAAAGATTTCTTTGCCTTGAAGTGGTTGCCAATAACATCTTGTGTGAGTTTTTCTTTTGTCCTATGCCTTCTTACTTAGGTTATGACTTGGACAGTTCTTCAAGGTTGATGAAGAAACCCTCAGAGGTGACAGACTGTTTCATGCTAAATGCAATCACCAGGCCTGAGTGTTGACTTCAATGTCCACTTTTATATTTTATATATATATATATATACATGAAGAAATAAATTTTTAAGGTGTGCTATATTTATGGGATAAAGTGCTCAACATCAGAGACATAGCATCTGTAAATATAAATATAAAAGTGAACATTGAAGTCAACACTCAGAAGCAACAGGCTTTTTCATGCTAGACGTAATCGTCAGGCTGCCTGACTATTGCATCTAGCATGAAACAGCCTGTCACCTCTGAGTGTTGACTTCAATGTTCACTTTTACATATATATATATATATATATATATATATATATATATATATATATATATATATATATGTAGTGATCTTCTAAGCGTAGTTTAGATGTAGCACAAAACCGAAAGTTGGGGTCACCTAGTGAGAATCAAACTCACTACTCAGTAGTAATTGTTCTAGTGAGATAAACTTGCTAACCATTACACCTCCTCGAGTTGCCCCTACATACATACATATATATATATATATATATATATATAGAGAGAGAGAGAGAGAGAGCTATTTTTTCTTTTTTTTCAATTTTTAATGTCATAATTAACTAGCGTCTTTTTTTTCTTGGTTATTTATTCAATAAATAAAACAATATCATTCTCCATTCTTAAAAGTTTCTTTTATTTTGTCTTTCAGGTAAGTTCTTATTTGAAAAGAAAGTCTTTGCAAAAAAACAAGTTCAGGTAAGAATCATACAAATTTGTCTTAAAAAAAAAATGGATTCATTTCATGTGGCTTGTGTTAAACAGAATATTTCCATATGTAAAAGACCTAAACCCGAACAATAATGGCTACTTTAAGAATCGGTTTTCACAGGGAAGAGTACTCAAATCCTGAGCAATTTTAATAGATCAGAAAACAGCCTCTGTTTTGCACTTACAGGACTTTTTTAAGGAGATATAATAGAGTAAGAAAAAAAAAAGCCCTGGAAATTTAAGTTTAGAAGATTTTATTCTGTATGCAGATTGTGGTTACAAAGTTAAACACCTCAATCTAAGGATATAATTAATTCCATGACCACTTAGATGTTCTATAAAGAATTATAACAAAACAGAAGAGACAGGATATATTTTAATACAACAACCCTCCTATAATAGTCATAACAGGGTTGGGTTTTTATTCAGTTTTTCTAGTGTCCATACCGTTTTTCTTTTATAAGAACTAAGAAAAGGACTGGTGCAAGGTTCTTGTACCTCACTGTATCCAAATCTATGCTACAGGGTTCCTCCACTCTATTACATCTTAATTTTTGTAAGGTAGTATTCATATTGCTATAGTATACTTACAGACGATAATGGGTATGTCCCCATTCACATAAATACAGTAGTAAATACTGTATGTTGGTCTGCAGTTGGAGATTCACTGTGGAATTCACTTGACTCACTTCTAGCAGTTGACTTTTTCTACATGCCACTGGTCAATCTTATATGTGTTGTTCTTGTCCTAAGTATAATTGTTCATTACCAACCTCTGTTTGATTGTTTTATCCAGTAACCATCCCTAGGTTACAACACATATAAAATGCAAATTTTATTGTCACTTTTTTTGCTTACTCACTTCATCCATAAAATTCTCAGTATCCTTCTGTAGAACCACATTTCTGCTGCTGAGGGGGTTCAGAGGGTAAAATGACATCAGGCATTCATTTTGGGAGGGCATCCAATCAAAGAATGAAATAAAAATATAGTTTTTGTAATTTTTAATCATCTTTGTTAACTTTGTTGTACAAGTGACCTACAGTCCCACAAGCCGGTGTGAATGTGGATCCATGTATAGATAAGTTGAATCAGAGTAAGACATCCTACCTGAGTCTTACGGGCATACAATCAAGTTGGCACTTAGTATCACCAAACCTCTACACATCACTGAATCTAGCACTCTTTTCTTTGTTTCTAATGAATTTTTTCCAGATCTTGACAACTTGCTTAGCTTTTGGAATGCTTCAACAGTTGCATCAAAAATACTTTTTCACTATAAATTCTCAAATTTTCATACATTTCATTTTAATCTTTAATATCAACATGTACAGGTGCGATGGATAAATTGTCATCTAAATTACACAAAAATGCCAATAACACTGAAATCTCCTTTTAACAGATATATTTACCAAAATTACTCAAAAATATCTTGAAATACTAAACAGTTAATTTATTCAATAAAATCGTCATTGGCCTCAAACATGGCCTCTAGACAACTTTAGAATCTCCTGTAACTCTTCTGGACTGTCTCCTTGTTTAAGTTGGTAAATGCTGCCATAATCCTTGCCTTCAGTTCATCTTTGATATGACAGAGTGTTTTGTTTGTCTCTTATTAAACTGCACCCCACACATAATAATCAAGGAGGTTGCAGTCTGGGAAGTTAAGTGGTCACATGTAAGGTGTGATATGGTTGCAGAAGAAATTCTCTCACAGCCATGACTGGGTTCCTCTGCTATTGTGGCATGGTGTACAGTCCTGTTGCCAGACATAGCATCTTCCAACTGCCACCATCTTAACTCAGGGCAGTACTTCCTCCTCAAGGCACTTGATGTAGTCCTCTGTGTTGAATCTAAGGCTCTCACCAACAAACTCATTTGTTCTTTTCTTATCAGAATGAGTTTTCCAAGTGGAGTGAATTGCATCGTATGGTTCTTTTTCTCAGAGACAGTGCCCAACTGACCCTACTATACTGTGCAGTTGACAAAATCAAAAACAAAAAACCCTGATGCACAAAAAATATAAATTAGCAACAACTTACCCATCGCAACCTGTATTTTTGACTGATGGCTATATTTAACAGTTAACAGTTTTGTACTTGAAAGTAAAATTTATTTTAATATTTTTTTTGTGGGGAATATCATATACAGGGTCTGTCTGAATATTAACAGGTCTGGTACCATAAACAATTTATTTCAATTTCAAACAACAAACTACATGGTTTCCCCTTCAAAGTAATTCCCCTTGAGTCTCATGCACTTTTCCCTTCCTTCTCTTTCTATGCTTCTTTGCACTGCTGGAAGGACATTTTTGGGTGCCTCTCAGCTCTGTTGTTATGGTCCTCTTGATGATCTCTACACCTTCAAACCAGTCCCACAGAGCAAGATCAAGTAAATAGGGAGGTTATTCCAGTACAGCGATGTTCTTGGATGCTCAGTGTATTATAAGCAGGTGCATTGTTGTAATGAAGCAGCCATGATTTCTGAGTACACTAGTCTGCTGGGGGTGGTGAGCTAATCCTTGCTGCTGATAGAATCCCTATTGTCATTTTACAGATATATTTTATTTATATCTGAATTTTTACACACACACACATAGGATTGACTACAGAGAGAGAGAGAGAGAGAGAGAGAGAGAGAGAGGTTTGAAAA